GGCGGGAAGATTCACGGGTGCCACTATTCGTGGCGCATTCAGACCGGGGATCCCATCCACTGGAAAGGGGATGGTGAACTATCCGATGCACACCACAGGGACTTGAAGTTGTTCCCCGGTGGCGTTCATCTCCGTGCTACGTCCGGCATTGCTGGAAGAAGCCATGAGTGTTGGGGTTTCTTGGAAAAAAGGGGTTATGAGAGTTTTAGAGGAAGGCTTTTAGAAGCGTATCCCACAAACGACGCCAATTGATGGAGCGCAATCCGGCCGGTCCTAGCTGTCAACGATCTTGCCTCTAGCTGGAGCAAAAGGTGCCTGAAACGGAGGAGAAAGCGAGTAATCTCCGGGGAAGAACCCGGTGAGAGTGCTCCAAAGCTCAAGTTAGTATTTCCTCAAAGGCAAGATAAAAAACCAGATGGCGCAAAGTTATCACATACCTCATTCTTGGGGGAGAAGAGAGCCTTTTATAATCACTTCGTGCACTCACTCCCAAGCTCCTGTCAGGTCGGGTATCATTACCTCTGCACTTCTGCCAGTTCGGGTGTCACCACCTCTGCTGGGGCAGACAACCGCCACTGCTCTCTTTGTCGGAGCCGTCTCTGTGACTGGAGGTGGCGGTGGCAGGTGGCCGTTGAAGTGCGGCTGTCAAGTGTCAGATCCTAAGTCAGTCAGGTGCACCGCCTCAGGATACAGACTCCTTTGGTGTCAGGTCAGGTACAGTTGTTCAGTTCGACGTCCTGGAGACGAAGTGTTGGAGTGGTGTGCGAGGTGAAGTCTTGAGTTCGGATAGAGGTGTGGCCTAAACTGCCCTGGGGCGGGCCAGTTCGGGTTGTTGCCCTTTGCGCTCCTCGTAAAGCTCGGGGTCAAAGGGAGAGTTCGGGCTCCTTTTGGGGAGTTCGGACCGTTGGTTCCTCATTTCGGAGCTCGCGCCTTGGGCGTACTGTCGTGTCGAGCTGTTGCCTCTGCCACGTGTTGAGTGGTCACGAGGTCGGGCCAAATCTTCCTTCATCAATTGCCCCCCACTCCTCGCGCTAAGGGGCTTGCTCTGGCGCGGGGAGTTTGCGAGGTGGCAGGTGGATTTGACCCGTACTTCGAACTAGTTTGACTGATAGCACGAAATGCACGTTCGTCAGGAGATTTTCGGGTTTCTTGAGCGCCAAAAAGTCAGGAAACGCGCCAATCCGTCTATAAATGCTGAAAGACGTGACAGTGCGCGTTTATTTCAAAATTTTAAAAAACGCGCCGCTGGGAGACGTGACAGCGGGCGTTGTTTCAAATTTGAAAAAGCGCGCCGCTGCCGCCTTTAATGCGGGGAGACGTGCACTGGCGCTGCTTCAGTTTCAAAAGACGTGCGGCCAGTCACGTCTTGGTCTTAGGAGGCGTGTAGTTAGCGTGATCGTGGGCCGTTGGATTTGCCTCGATCAGAACCGTCAGTTTCGGTCACTGTGGGTATAAATAGTGGGGGACCCCAGTCGCTTTTCATTGCCATTCTCCTGCGTTTGCTTCTTGAGCTCACGTCCAAGTTTTAGCTCACGTCCAAGTTTTTAGCTCGCGTCAACCTTCCATAGTCCGTTTGCTTTTTCCGGGTGAGTCTACTTTCTTCTTGGTATCCTTTTCCTCCCGATGTCTAGCTCGGACAGCTTAGACAGTTCTTCGAGGGGGTCAGATGTAGGTTCTACGAACCGAGCTGCATCCCCCGACAGCCTTAGTGAACCCGAGGTAGAGCTCGAGGAAGAGTTCGAACCCGTAGGCCGAGTTGCCTCGGGTAGTTTGGCGTCCTCCTCCCGTCGAGGTCGGTTGTTAGACAAGTTTGGGCCCTCAACCATGACACCTGAGGGGCTTTACTCCCTTATCACCCAGTTCAACCTGCCTAGGGAGTACACTTACTTTATACCCTCGGGCGACTTCCCTTGGGAACACGGTCTTGACAAGATCGTGATATTCTGGGAGCAGCTTGTCGTTGGGTTGCGCCTACCTTTCCACCCCCTCATTGTCGAGGTTATGAATCACTTCGGCGTTACCGTCAGCCAGTTCCACCCGAATTCTATCCGTAACTTGGTGGGGACTATCTCCCTCTTTTGCGAATAGATTTTGCTTTTAGACCTGGAGATCTTCTCTTCCATTTTAATGCTTAAGAAGCAAGCGGGTCCCCTTCCCGGGCGTAGGCGGGCGTATTACCTGTCTCCTCGCCCGGGGTTCAAGCTTTTACACGATCTTCCCAACAAGGTCCCGGCATGGAAACGAGACTACTTCGGGGTGCGAAGTGCAATGGGGTGGCCGTTCCAAACTGGGTGGGGGATGGCTGCCCCCGATGTCGATGTTACTCTTGATAGGGACAGGGCCTCCGGGAATGGGCACGGCTTGGGCTAAAATGCCACCATTATCTGACGGAGGCCAAGCTCATCGAGGCCGGCCTGAGTTCGGGTAGGTTCCTTGCTTAGAGGCTCGCCTTTTGTTTTGTTTTCCGTTCTTTCGTTTTCCTGATGCCGAGTTCCTTTTGCAGGTGTGATGGACGTAGAGAAGACTCGCGGTGGGAACCTGTTTCATGTCATGAAGAGGAGGAAGCGGGTTGCCAAACGGACTCGTGCCGAATTGCCCCGAGATGCGGAGACCGAGGTACCGGGCTACCCGCCAGTGGATCCACCCAGGGAGCCCGAGATGGCCCCTCCGGTACAAGAAGCGGCAGGGGCCCCTTACGCCAAGGCTGCTTATACGGGGGCTCCTCCTTTCACCGAGTCTGCTTATACGCGAGCTGGGCCTTCAAGCTCGGGAGGCCAAGGCGAGTTCAGGAGTGTGTTGTCGCCGAACCACGCTCTTCAAAAAAGTAGGGAGGCCGTTTACCCTGAGGAGGTCGCGGCGTGGACCGAGCTTCCTTTGAACCATGTAGCCGGGCGTGCTGCCTCTTATGCCATGGTGGTAAGTCAGCGACTTTTTGTCGGTCT